AAGTAATAAAAAATGTGTTGCCACTGTAACTTTGCAAACCTCTTTGTAGCATTTGAGAAAGACCAGGCGACTAACCAATTGTCCTTTCCTCTTTCCATTGCTCTCTTTTTTATTATCAGTACTAGCACTTGTATATTTTTTTACCTTGAAGTTCCAAAGCATGCCGGTGCAAGTAGATAAATAGGTACTGCTACAGTGGGAAGGTAAACAGAGTTTCCATGCACTCTGGCTTCCGTCGTGGTTTTCCATTGCTCCAGAAGTGGTTTAGTCATGCTGGCCACGTGACCCAGAAAAGCTGTCTGTGTACAAATGCCAGCTCCCTCAGGATAAAGCAAGATGAGCACCACACCCCATAGTCAACTTTGACTGGACTTAACTGTCCAGGGGTCCTTTACCTTTTATCTTTACCTTACTTTTCAGCACAATTTTCCCACTGCTTTTCATTAGCAGCACAGGTTCCTCTCCCTCATATTATGTCTCAACATAGCCACCCTGCATTTCTATTTTCAAAGCCTGTGATCATTACATTTCTCAATTATCATTCGAATTTGGATGGACTGCTGTGAAAACAGCTGCTTTTCAAGTCTGCCTTTAATTCTATCCATGCAGTTCATTTGCACTGCATGCAAATCAGCTTAGCCTGTGGAGTACATAGCCTGCTGGTGGTCAAGTTAGTTAGATGGCAGCCTTCTGTGAGGTAGCTTCACTCTTCCTTTCACTTACAACAGTACCTCTGATCTAATATGAAACCAATGAAAGTTGTTATGGGAGTATAGGACTCGGATCATTTTGTTTATTAGGCTATTGATCCTGAAAACAAACTGTCTGCAGCATGCCTTGGGCTGCAAGAAGAGAACATCTCCAATATTGTGCTGACTTGTCCCTTCCAAAGGCAGCAATTTATGTCAGTGATTAACTAGGAACTCCAGCAGATTCAACACAGTTGGGGTCCAACAGTGCAGTGAGGACTAAAAAAAAAAGTGAATTTGAGATCAGGTGCAGCCACACAAAAAATTAAACACAGGAAAGAGTTGAGTCTAAGAAAGACATTATATGCCCTAAACAAAAGCACAAGGATTTAATTTTTCCTTATCAGGTTAATTTGTTCATAAACAATTTATGCCCACAACATTAATTTTTACTATGTCGCTTAGAAATCAGACATGTTCTTATTTTGCATGTGGGTTAATGAGCTCTTCATGAAAGGTAGGAGGTTAGTGGATCTTTGACCCAGAAAGTCTTTCATGAATAGTTTGTGTTTAGGGTTATGTTAATAATGCATTGTGCTACATATAAATATTTATAAAGGGTTCGTTCCTTAGCATTGCACTGAAATAGCAACTTTCAGATTTATCATTAAATTCTCGCGAGGAAGCTGGTAAAATGTGGATTGAACGAGGTAACTGTTAGGTGGATTTGTAGCTGGTTGACTGACCGAACCCAAAGTTCCTAGTCATCCTGGAGAAAAGTGACAAGTGGGGTGCCACAGGGTTCTGTTCTGGGCCTGTTGTTGTTCAACAACTTTATAAATGATTTGAATGAAGGAATTGAGGGGATGCTCCTCAAATTTGCCGATGACACCAAACTGGGAGGGGTAGCTAATGCCGCAAAAGATAGAATCAGAATTCAAAATGACCTTAGCAGATTGGAGAACTGGGAGCAAGCTAACAAAATGAATTTCAATAGGTACAAATGTAAGGTTCTGCACTTAGGCAGGAAGAACCAGATGCACAAATGTAGGATGGGGGACACCTGGTTTACTAGCAGTACATGTGAAAAGGATCTAGGGGTCTTGGTGGACCACAAGCTTGGCATGAGTCAACAGAGTGATGCAGCAGCAAAAAAAAGCTAATGCTATTCTAGCCTGTATCAACAGAAGTATAGTGTTCAGATCAAGGTGAGTAATAATACCACTATATTCTGCCTTAGTCAGATCACACTTGAAATACTGTGTCCCATTCTGGGCACCACAATTTAACAAGCTGTTGACAAGCTGGAACATGTGTAGAAGAGGGCAACCAAAATGATCAAGCGTCTGGAAACTAAGCCTTATGAGGAGCGCTTGAAGGAGCTGGGTATGTTTAGCCTGGAGAAGAAAACACTGAAAGGAGATATGATAGCCATCTTCAAATATCTTAAGGGCTGCCATATGGAGGATGGAGCATGCTTGTTTTTCTCCTGCTCTGGTGGGTAGGACTCAAACCAATGGCTTCAAGTTGCAAGAAAGGAAATTCCGACTAAATATTTGGTAAAACAGTAAGAGCTGTTCAGCAGTGGAACAGACTCCCATGAGAGGTGGTGGACTATCCTTCCTTGGAGGTTTTTAAACAGAGGTTGGATGGTCATCTGTCATGGATGCTTTAGCTGAGATCTCTGCATTGCAGGGGGTTGGACTAGATGACCCTTGGGGTCCCTTCCAACTCTAAGATTCTATGATTCAATCTTGGGCTTATCTATTTATGCGCCATAATTTTAGCCTTGGATTGCTTTCATTCTTTTTGAGGGCATTAGCCATCAGTTTCCCATCCAAAGTGATTTTATTCAAGTGCCTGAAAGCAGGTCTGATCCTTTCATCCTCAATCTATAAACTTCCCCGTGATGCCTCAGATCACAACTTTTAGCACCACTTATGAATTCATATTATAACTATTTGGATCCCTTCCAGTCAGGATTCAGGCCTCATCATGGTACTGAAACTGCATTGGTCACGCTGGTCGGTTATCTCCAACAGGCTAGGGACAAAGGTGAGAGCTGTTTCCGAGTTCTGCTGAATCTCTCAGCGGCTTTTGATACCATCAACCATAACATCCTTCTGGACCGTCTAGAGGGGCTGGGAGCTGGGGGCACTGTCATACAGTGGTTCCGCTCCTTCCTCCTGGGCCTTGTTCAGAAAGTGGTGGTGGGGGATGAGTGTTCAGACCCCTGGGCTCTCACTTGTGGGGTGCCTCAGGGTTCTGTCCTCTCCCCCCTGCTTTTCAACAACTACATGAAGCCGCTGGGAGAGATCATCAGGGCGTTTGGGCTGTGTGTTCATCAGTATGCGGATGATACCCAGCTCTACCTCTCTTTCAAATCAGAACCAGTGAAGGTGGTGAAGGTCATGTGTGAGTGTCGGGAGGCGGTTGGAGGATGGATGGCAGCTAACAGATTGAGATTGAATCCTGACAAGACAGAAGGACTGTTTTTGGAGGACAGGAGGCGGGCGGGTATGGAGTACTCCCTGGTCCTGAATGGGGTAACTGTGCCCCTGAAGGACCAGGTGCGCAGCCTGGGAGTCATTTTGGACTCACAGCTGTCCATGGAGGTGGAGGTCAATTCTGTGTCCAGGGCAGCTGTTTATCAGCTCCATCTGGTACACAGGCTGAGACCCTACCTGCCCTCAGACTGTCTCGCCAGAGTGGTGCATGCTCTGGTTATCTCTCGCTTGGACTACTGCAATGTGCTCTATGTGGGGCTACCTTTGAAGGTGACCCGGAAACGACAACTAATCCAGAATGCAACAGCTAGACTGGTGACTGCCAAGACCACATAACACCGGTCTTGAAAGACCTACATTGGCTCCCAGTACGTTTCTGAGCACAATACAAAGTGTTTGTGCTGATCTTTAAAGCCCTAAATGGCCTCGGTCCAGTATACATGAAGGAGAGTCACCACCATTGTTCTGCCCAGAGACTGAGGTCCAGTGCCGAGGGCCTTCTAGCGGTTCCCTCGCTGCGAGAAGCCAAGTTACAGGGAACCAGGCAGAGGGCCTTCTCGGTAGTGGCTCCCACCCTGTGCAACTCCCTCCCACCAGATGTCAAAGAGAAAAGCAACTACCAGACTTTTCGAAGACATCTGAAAGCAGCCCTGTTTAGGGAAGCTTTTAATGTTTAATAGACTATTGTATTTTAATATTTTGTTGGAAGCCATCCAGAGTGGCTGGGGAAACCCAGCCAGATGGGCGGGGTATAAATAATAAATTATTATTATAGTATAAATTTGCAATACTGCTGTTTTTTAAAGGCTTGGGATGGAGTCACACAACCATAGTTGTACACAGTGATTAAAGCTCTCATATAATAGCTTGTTTGCTTAAAGTTTCACTGAACAACAACTGTTGTGAAAAGAGGCCTCTCATCTCATGTAGGCATAGCCTCTCCATTGGGGTGAAGCTTACCACATCACAGCCACAACTTCAACAGAGGCAAGAGCTATAGCTCAGTGGTACAGCATGCAGATGGTCCCAGGTTCAGTATCTGTCAATCCCAGGGAGAGGTCAGAAAGAGTCTAGTCTGAAATTCTCGGAAACCACTGCCATTCAAGGGTGGGAAATTATAAATTTTCCCCTCATAGCACTTTTCAGCTGGCAACACCCAACTCACCTGACCTCATGTGATGTTAGCTGCAGAACAGGTAACACTATGGTTGCAATTGTTCCTTGGCAGTGGGGCTTGCATCTGGTGTTATTTAAATTTCACATCAAATGTATTATTTGGGGCGTGTGACTCCTGGAATGGCCACAGGTACCAATAATTTGTTTTCTGTCTTCCTGCTTCCTTGTCTTTGAGAGTTCAGTAGCACCACACTATGGCTGAATATCTTCTGACATTGCCACTCTGGACCAAATCATTCTGTTCAGACTCTACACATACAATCTGACCTTAGTGACAACTCATATTTTTTGAAAAAATGATGAGCATTATACTGTCCTTATTAAAATATGGATGCAGGCACCAATATAAAAGATGAAAAAAGTAACTACATTTAACTGCCTATTGCTCTGGTAAAGTCATTCTCTTTGTTCCCTGCTTGGAAGCATTGCCATTTCAGTGGAGATTGTAGTGAGAGACAAGTTACACTGCATAGCAAAATAAATAATAATAATAATAATAATAATAATTTATTTATTTATTTATTTATACCCCGCCCATCTGTCTGAGCCTCCCCAGCCACTCTGGGTGGCTCCCAATCGAGTGTTAAAAACAATACAGCATTAAAATACTTTGTAATCGTTATCCATTCCTAGGGGAGGGGCCATAGCTCAAGGACAGAACATCTGCTTTGCATGCAGAAGGTCCCAGATTCAATCCCTGGCAATCTCCAGGTAGAGATGGGAAATATGCCCACCTGAAACCCTGGAGAATCAATATCAGTCAGTGTAGACAATATTGAGGTAGAAGGACCAAGATTCTGACTCTGTTTAAGGCAGTTGCATAAGGCAGCTATGTTCCTGTATGAATTTTTTTAATAGAAAAAAACTCTTAAAAGTGTATTTTGTACTTATTTAAATGTATATTTTCTCCAACGTATATATTTAAAATGTGTGTTTCTCCAAAAAGACATGTTCAAGATGTGTATGTCTGAGTTATATCATTCAAACAAGTCTGAGAACCAGTGAATTGCTACGTTTTGCTCTGCTGATTAGTTCAAGACATTGGATGTCAACCAGTGCACCGAGGCACCTTGGAGACTCTTAAGGAACATTCAGGGGAGCCCCCGGGGGGGGGCTGTCCTTTCATTAACTTGCAGCCCATATCTTCCTGCACTATCTCTCTCTCCTTATCTCCAAGCAACATTCAGGGGAACCGGCAGGGGCAGAATGGGATGGGGCAGGAGCAGAATGGGGGAATCCCCACTTACACGTGTTCAGTAACAGAACCCCATCTGATTGGTCAAGGGAGCCATGGACTCAAAAAGCTTGAAAACCACTGGTCAAAGAGGTACATATCAGGCCAGTAGCTTTGCAGTACTGGGCATGGCAGAGGAGAAAATCTGCCATGCACCACACCAAACCACCTGCACCTTACTTCTCACCTCTCCCTCTTAGTAAGTGCCAGCAAACCATTGTGTTGAGAACCAGGAGAGCAATGGAGCCCCATGCACACCACCTCAAAGGCCACCACTGGATCAGGACATTTCATACAGCAGCTTGCAAAAACTGAATTCCCCAAACATCGCTAATTTGAACTTCATTGGTTGCCCCCTCTCAGCACACTTTAGCACATGAAATATCCTGGTGGGTCACTTCATAAATACCCACTTCCTGACTCTTCTCTCACAACCAACCTTCTCAGAGGGGGATGTTCCAGCCATTTCATGATTGTTCCACAGAGGAGATAGTACTGAGGTGGGTGATTTATTCCTTCCTCGTTCCCCGCAGTATCACTTTTCTAATACTGCGTATCTCTGCATTTCTAAAAAAGAAAAGAAAAGAACTGAAAGATGTTCATTTATTCACATTTGCCTGATTATTAACAGCCTGTCAATCTATTTTTTATTACCCAACCCTATTTTGTGCATGCTTTTCATTTTAATGGGATGTTATCTATTTAGGTGCTGTAGAGTATTTTTCCACATCCTCATTGTTAGCAGGACTCAAGAACATTTCATTTTATCATTTAATTGCTTAAAAAGTGCATCCATCATTCATCATCTCAGTATGCATTTTCCTTTAATAAAATGTGATTACATATATTCTTTTAAAAGAGAGAGAGAGTGTGTATACAAACAATATATTCCCAGAGGCTTGTATTTTACTTGCACATAATTATTGATAAGAATAGCGTAACATGTCCTTTTGATGAAATGGGCTTTAAAAGAAAAGGGTGTGCTTATTCATTCATTAGTAATGATAGAAACTGCCAGGAGCCTCTACTTCACATACCTGCGTGTGTAAATAATGAACAGCCTCAAGGCTAAACAGCTACTACAAAATGTCTTCCACTCTGCAAAGTGGCAGTTTCTTTATGCTAATGACTCAAAACACTCCCTACGTGTTCTTTTATTTCTTCATTGCAGAAGAAAAATAAACCATAAGTTTACTGTAGTTGGAGGGGGAGGAATAAAACAAACAAGGGTGTCTGCAAAAAACCAAAAACCAAAAAACACCACGACACAAAAATTTGGCAAGTTTGCAGAAGATATGGACCAAAATCCCATTGCCCCATCTTCTGAATAGCTGTCAGATATGCCTGCAAAACTTGGGGTGTCTTCGCAAACTCAGGGGATGCACCTAAGCGCTATCATTGACAAAGGTGAAAAGCACCATGAAGACCTTTAAGGTAAAGGTAAAGGGACCCCTGACCATTAGGTCCAGTCGTGACCGACTCTGGGGTTGTGACGCTCATCTCGCTTTATTGGCCGAGGGAGCTGGCGTACAGCTTCCGGGTCATGTGGCCAGCATGACTAAGTTGCTTCTGGCAAACCAGAGCAGTGCATGGAAACGCCATTTACCTTCCCGCCATAGCAGTACCTATTTATCTACTTGCACTTTTGACGTGCTTTCGAACTGCTAGGTTGGCAGGATCAGGGACCGAGTAATGGGAGCTCACCCCGTTGCAGGGATTCGAACCACCGACCTTCCAATCGGCAAGTCCTAGGCTCTGTGGTTTAACCCACAGCGCCACCCGTGTCCCAAGAAGACCTTACATGTGCCTAAAAGGGCTCTTTGGATTTGTAGAACATCTTTGGATTAAAATGGAGTCCTTTAAGAACACAAGAATGGAATAAAAGCCTGCTGGATCTAGGGTCCACCTAGTCCAGCATACCGTTCTCATAGTGGCCAACCAGATGCCTGTGTAAAATCCACATGCAGGACTTGAGTTCAAGAACATTCCCCACCCCATGGTTTTCAGCAACTGGTATTCAGAGATGTTACTACCTTCCAACTATGGAGGCACACAGCCAACATGGCTTAACAATGGCACACAGTGCTACATAAAACGACATACAAAACTCACTTTATTAGTCACTTCTTAAGCACAGCCATATTTTCATATGATCTGCAATGGCAATGGTGATCATATCACCCATCTTTGCTTTCTTTAAATTTCTGCCATCCTTTTGTAGCATTAGCACAAAGCCAACTTGAAGTAAAGGTAGAAAACTATGCTTCCTATCCTCACTCAGGTGTCCTATGGGAATTATTATGGTGAAATTTCACCCAACACCAGTAAGTAGCACATAATGGGAGCTAACATTTGATTCCATTTGCACCCTTCCCCAAATCACTAAAATAGCCTCCACAAGAGCTTTTGAACATGGTGGTAAAGTTTGGGAGGAAGATTTTGGCTCAGCTCTGTTTCATTACCGGAAAGTGTGGTAGTCTGTAACTATACTATTCTATTAAGGGCTGCTTCTGAAAATACATTTTATATTTGGTACAGATCCTTGTAGCCAAAGTACATTTCACCACATCAACTAAAAAAGGAAGAATACATCTTTCACCTGAGTGCTTCCTCTTTAAAACACATGGAAATAACAAGCAGGTGATCACTTGACCCCAGTGTATGCAATCTTATTTTAAAAAGAAAGCCAATATATAAATAACTGCCTACAAAGAGTAGAAGTTTAAAATGATAAATTGCTGTTTTGGACATTATGTAGAATGCGGTGATAGCTACCTCTATTTTACAAGTTGAAGCAAGGTTTTGGGAAAGTTCATCTATATCAAAACCTCATTGGATATAGTAAGCTAGCCTATCATGGAGAAGGTTTTGCTAAATCTCTCTCTCTTTCTCATATGCTTGAAATAATGGCAAAACACATTTAATTTTCTCTCTTGACCTGACCCAGAATTTGTGCCATTTCTCTTGAGATTAGTATTATTCCATTTTCGATTACCTTCTGATCGGTTGGAGGCATGGGAAAGTTTTTAGTTGAAAACACAATAGCTCATACTGATTCGGCCATTGCACCATTTCCCTGTAGGCCAGTTTGTCAATTTGATTCTAGATATTCATCAGTGACTCTTTCTTATGGGTTCAGCTAAAGCAGTTGGGATGCAACACAGAGCAATTCCAACATGTGGATAAGGAAGAAAAAGAGTAAAAGGGAGAGCAATGGTGGCTGCTGTTTATTGAAATAGTCTTCTACAGTCTGATTGCCGTTTATGTGATACATCATATGATGTCCTCCGCATACATCGTAAAATGAAGAATGTTAAAAGAGAATAGGAGTAAATGAAGACACATTTTATCTGAGGGTACTTTGAAATGGAAGCCCTGCCATCACACATACCCCAACAAACTCCATGAAACTGCAGTCTTAAATATTGATTTGGTATTCACTGTCATTGTAAAAAGCAATTTTGTTTTCCCTGAATGAAATAAACGCAGCTTTAAACACTGGCATACCCTTTTAGCGAGGAATTTTACAGCTCTCTGTTTATACGCTTGAAATTAAAACCACCAGAATTGGGGGTTGGGAGATGAACACCAAAGGGGTTTTCAAAAATTTAAAACTCCATCATGCATAAATGGAGCTCATCACAGAAGGTAATTTCCCTGCAGAAAACACTCCATCTTTTGTTTTATGTAAGTTATCAACATGAATATTTTATTCTGAGGGAAAATGCCTTTACCCCTCTGTTTCATACTTTTTTGCTTAAGGTCTTGCATAAATAGACTCCCTGCTCCCCATGCACACATATTTCTGCTAGGCAATCCTAGTTCAAATCAGTGTTTTTCTTTTCTTTTCTTGGTACAATTTTGCAAATAATCAGTTGCTTGAATTTTCTGAAACAAAGCAATCCGAATACATGACTTGCTAGGATGAGAGAGTTTGTATTAGGCAGATCTTGGACTTTCCCAGCTGAACAGGAGCTCTGTGGGGCTACATTGGAGTAAGTCCTTCATTCGGGCTGAGCAGAGATAGGCCAGCATAATTCTCTCACTCCAGCTCAGCTGGGGCTCAGCCAGCAGAACTTAAATCATCATAGACAACTTCCATTGACATAAGTCCCCCAAAAGAAGTATTCCTGATGTGTGGTAGCGGAATGGTCAGGACAATGTCTTACTCCTGTTCTAAATCCCTTTCAGCTTGGTCACATGACCTATGATCCAGCAGAATTTAGCTGGCAAAACATCGCCACCCCACCCCACCCCCACCCACTATAGCCCCCCTCCACCTCTTCTCCCCTTTTCTTCCTAATGTAACACTAATGTCTCAACAAATGAAAGTGATCTGTAGAAAATGTAACTTGAAAAAAGAGACATTGCACATACTTTTGTAATCCAAGAAATCTTCAATAAAAAATACATTAAAAAAACATAGTACAAGGGAAAGGCCTTGGCAAAGCTTAGATGGTTTTTCTTTGGTGTCCATTA